GAGAGCGGCAAAGAAAAAAGAGGCGGAGAGGGCGGAAACAGAGCAAAACAGAGCAAAAGAGCAAGGGCGGGACGGGAGAGAGGCAAAGAGAGAAAACACGCAGAGCGGCAAGAGAAAGCAGGCCAGGGGGAGCGGCAGCAAAGAGACCGGCGCAGCAGGGAAGAGCAGCGACAGAGGCGCAGAAGGGGGAAGCAAGACAACACGGGGGGGGAGCAAAACAAGAGAAGGGAGGAAAGGAGCACGGAGCGGGGAAAGCCGGGAGGGGCACACGGAGCGGGGAGAGCCGAAGCAGGGCGGAGGGGCGGGAGGAGGGCGGGCGGGGGGAGCAAAGCACGAGAGCACGGGAGACGGGGCGACCGGAGGGGGGAAGACGGGGGAAAGGAACGCGGAGGCGGGAAAGCCGGGGAGGAGCGCGGCGACGGGAAACCCGAAGCAGCAGGGGGGGCACGGGGCAGGAGGGCGGGCGGGGGAGCAAAGCACGAGAGCACGGAAAGGCAGGGGAGCGGGGAACCAAGGAGGGGGAGAGAGAGGGAAGGGCGCGGGGAGAGAAGAGCAAGGGGAGGAGGAGGAGGACACCACCGCGCGAACCACGAAGGGGCGGGGGGCGGGACGGCGGGCGGGACGGACGGCGCGGGACAGAGGGCGCGACACGAGAGAGACGGCGCACACAAGCGCACACACACGGGAGGGGAGGGAGGGCCGCGGGGCACCAGACGCGAACAAGCGGGAAGAGGGGGGGGGAGCGCGGGCGGAGCAAGGGGGGGCGGGGCGAAAAAGGGGGAAAGGCGAGGCACCCCCCCCCCCGCGAGACGGGCACCGGACCGCGGGGGACCAACAAGGGGGAGCAGAGCCGGGAGCCGAGGGGAGGCAGGGGAGACCAACCGGGGAGGAAAACACGGGCCAACGGGGGGGGGGGACGGGGGGGGCGAGGGAGCCAGGCGACAAAGGGGGGAAGGGGAGGAAGCGGGCAGAGCGCGGGAGGAGGAGGAAGAAAGAGGGAGCGCAAAAGCGAGGAGGCGCACGGGAGAAAGGGAGGAGGGGAAAGGGCGGAGGCAGGGACACGGAGCGGCGGGACACGAGGAAAGGGGGGAAGGAGGGCCACGGGCCGAGAGAAAGAGGAAAAGCAAGACGGCGGGGGAGAGCCCCGGAGGCGCCACAGGACGGACAAAAGCCAAAACCGGAGGGACAGCGGAGAGAGAACGCGGAAGAAGCGGGACAAGAGGGCCAAGGAGAGGCGAGGCAAAGCCGGGAGGAGACAAGAGGGCCGAAGAGCCGAAAGGGGGGACGGCCAAAGAAAGAGGGGAAACGCGCAGCAAGAGGGGCGAAGGAGAGGAACAAGAAAAAGACAAGAAGCGCACAAGCGCCAGGAAGAAGGGGGAAGGGCAAAAGGCGCGCAAAGGAAAGGGGGGCAGACAGGGAAGCGCGAAGGAGCAAAGGGCGGGGAGAGAGGAGGGAGCGGGCAAAAAGAGGAGCCAAAAAGAAAGGAAGCGCAAAAGCCGACGAGGCGGACCAGCGGCAGGGGAGAGGAAGGGGACGGCGAGGCGCGAGCACCGAGAGCGAAGAAGGGGGGCAACAGACAAAGGAGGGAGGGAGCGAAAAGCAGAGGAGGGCGAAAGGAAGGCCAAAGAGGAGGAGGGGCAGGAAGCGCGAAAGGCGGCGCGAAGGGCCGAACAACCGGCAACCGCCAGGGCAGGAGAAAAGAAGGGGGAGGAGGACGGACGAACAAGGGGCGCGGGGGCAAAAAGGGAGAAGGGGGAGGCGAAAAGGAGACAACAAAAAGGCGGCGCGGGGAAAAGGCAGCGCGCGCAGAACACAAGAAGAAAAAGGCGAAGAAAACAAGGAGGGGGCGACAAGGGCCGCAAACCCGGACAGGGGAAAAGAAAGGGGCCGGAGCGAGCGGGAGCAAGGAGCAAGGCAAAAAGGGGGAAGCGACGCCGAACAAAGCCGAAAGCAAAAGGGGCAAGCGCGACAAAAGAAAAGCGCGCGGGAGCAACGAACCAAACGAAAAGGAGGAGGCGGAGGAGGCAGCAGCAAGCGAGGAAAGGGCAGGGGGAGGAGGAGACGGCGCGAAGAGGCAAGGCAAGGGAGGGGAGGACAAGGGAAGAGGGGCGGAGGGCGCGGGAGCAGAGGAAGAAGAAGGAACAGCGAAGGCGGGCAAGGCGGGGAAGGGGCGGGGGCGCGGAAGCGAGGGACGAAGCGAAGGCGAGCGCAAGCAAGGAGGCGAAGGCGGGAAAAAAGAAGAAAGGAAGAAAAAGGGCAAGAGGCGGGACGGGAAGGGAGGAAAGGGAAGAAGGAAAAGAGGCAGCGGCAAGAAGAGGGGAAAGCAAGAGAGGGGAGAGAACAGAAGCGGAGAGCGACGAGGGCGACGGGCACGAAGGCGGCGAAAAGGAGAGAGAAAAGGGGGAGCAGGCAAAAGCCAGCAGGAGAGAGAACCGGAAGGGGAGGACGCCACAGGGGCGCAAACCCCGCAAAAGCGGACGAAGGCGACGACGACGGGAAAGAAGAAAGGGCAAGGGGGAAAAGGGGGAAAAGGCAGAAGAGCACGAGGAGACAAGGACGGGGCGAGCAAAAAAGCAAAGGGGAAGGGGAAAGGCCGAAACAAGGGGAGGACGACGGCAAAGCAACAAAAAGGCGCAAGCAAAGAGAGGCCAAAGAGGCAAGGGCAAAAAGAGGGCAGAGAAAAGAGGGAAGCGGGGCGAGAAAGAAAGGGGGGAGAGGGAGCCCACGCAAAAAGGGGGGGGCAAGAGAGGGAAGGCGGGGAGAGACCAAAGCAACCAGGCGCGGCCCAGGGGCCAAAAGAGAAAAAGGGGGGCAAAACCGGCCAAAAAGGGGCGAAGGGAGGGAGGAGGAGCGGGGCGCGAAGGGGGACAAAGCGCCGCAGCGGAAGGCAAGAAGAGCAAGGGGGGGGGGGGACCAAAAAGCACGAACAGGAAAGGACCCAAGCAAGGAGGGGACCGAAAGGGAAGGAAGCGGGGGGCAGGAGGGGGGACAGCGAGAGGGGGGGCGCACGCCACAGGACGAGAAAGAAAGCAGAGCGAGGGAAGGGCAAAGAAAGCGAGGGACCAAAAGGGAGGGCGGAGGAAAGCAAAGGAGGGAAGGACAAAAAGGAGGGCACGAGCAAGAAAAAGGGGGAAGAGGGAAGAGGGGGGCGGCGGGAAGGCGGAAAAGGGAAGGGGGGAGCACGAGGCAAGGGGGGAGAAAGGCGAGCGGGGGAGAAGGGGCGAAAGAGAAGGGCCGAAGAAAAAGGAGCGCACAAAGGAGAGGGGGAGCGGGAAAAAGCGAAAGAAGAGGGGGGGGAGGGGAGCACAAGCAAAGAGGCAGGGGGCGGAAGGGCCAGAAAGGCGAAGGAAGCGAAGGGGAAGGGCACAGAAAGCGCAACCACGGAAACGGCAAGACGAGCAAGCAGCGGGCAAAGAAGAAGCGAGGAGAAGGCGGGCCAGAGAGGAGCGGCAAGAAGGACCAAGGGGGGAGGCAGGCCAACGCGGAAAGCAAAGCAAAGCAGCAGGCAAAGCAAAGACACACGAGGCAACGGCAAGACCGCGAAGCGGACGACAGAGGGACGGGGGGACCGGGGGAGCCAAGAAGGGGAAGGGGGAAGAAAGAGACGCGCGGGGGGGGAGGAGGGGGCCAGGGACACGGGGACCGGGGGCGCAAGAAGAAAAAGGAAGGGGAGCAAGGGCGACCGAAGCGGGGGAAGCAACGACAAAAGGAGAAAGAAGGGCAAAGAGCAAAAAGACGAACGGAGCGCGGAACCGAGGGCGGGAAGGGAGGGAGACAAGCGGGGCAAGGCACAGGGAAGGGCGCAGCAAGGAGCGGCCCCAAGAACACCGCAACAAAACGGGGGGGCCGAAAGAAGAAACCGGACGCGCAAAGAAGCCGCACGAGGGAGGAGGAGGGCGGCCGGGCGCCCGAAACGAGAGGGGCGGAAGCGAGCAACACGGCGGGGACACGCAAAAGCGAAGCAGGAGCCAGAAGCAGGACAAGAAGACGCCAGAGGAGCGAGAGAAAGGGAGAAAACCAAAGAGGGGGAGGGGCAGAGGGGGAGGCAAAGGGGAGGCAGAGGAAGGAGAAAGGGCAGCGAAAAGCGGGGAGGAGCGGGCAGAGGAAGGAAGGGGGCGAGGAGAGGCAGCGACCAGCAAGGGGGCAGAGGGGAAGAAAAGAGCAAGGGGGGGGAAGAAGCCAGACACGGGGAGGGGGAGGAAAAAGCACAGAGCAAAAGGAGGGCGCGGGACGAAGAAAGGGCACAAAAGGGGAACAAGGGGCAGAGGGAGGGGGGAGACGAAGGAGACGGGGGAAGAGGAGGGGGGCAGGGAAGGGAGGAGGGGGAAAGGAAGGCGCGAGAAAAGCCCAGCCCGCAGCCAGAAGAAGGGGGAAAGGCGGGGAAGAAGAAGGGGGGGAGGGGAGCCGCACGGGGAAGGGAGAGGCAGGACAAGGGGGGAGCCAAGGAGGGAGCAAGGGACGGGGGAAGGGGGGGAAGCAAGGGCAAGAAGAAGGAAAGGGAGGAAAGGCGAACCAACGCGGCCAGGACACAACAAAGGGAGCCACCCAGGACCAGGCACCCAGGGGAACCAGAGGGAAGAGGGCGCAAAAAGCACCCGCCAGAAGGAAGGAGGGGGAAGAGGCAGGAAGGCGGGAAAACAAGAGCAGCGACCAGGGAAGCAGGGGGCACGGGGGAGCGAGCGCAGAGGGAACCAAAAGAAGGGACGAAGCGCGCAAGGAGCCGGAGGGAGAAAGGCGAGGCAAGAGGAGCGCGAGCAAGGCAAAAGAAAGGAGGGGGGGAACGGGGGCCAAGACCGGCGAACCACAAGGGGGGAGGAACCAAAGGGGGCGGCCGGAACAAAGCAAACGAAGAAGGCGGGAGGGGAGGAAGAAAGCAAGGCGCGGGGCAAAAGGAGACGCGCAAGAAGAAGGAAGAGAGGGGGAGGAAACGGGGGCACCGGGGGCCCGACGGGAAGCAAGCAGAAGGGGCCGAGCCGACGCCGCACACAAAGAGGGCACCGGGGAGCAAAGGGACGGGAAAAGCGCAGGCGGGAAGGGGCGACGCGAAGAAGAAGGGAGGGCGAACAACCCCCAGGGGGGGAGGGAAAAGGCGAAGGGGAGAAAGGCGACAAACGGAAAAAGGCAGGGGAGGGGGGAAACAAGCACCGAGAGCGGGGGAGGAGACGGGGGCAAGGGGCGGAGAAGCGGGGGAGGCACCAAAGGCCGGGGGGACAAAACGCGAGGGAGAAGGCAAGAGGGGGAGCAGAGGGGAGGAGGGCAAAGAGGGGGAGGAGAGGAGGGGGGGGAAGCACGAACAAGGCGGGGGGGGAGAAAGGGGCGAAGCGGAGGCAGAAGAAAGGCGAAAGGAGCAGGAGGGGGGGAAGGGAAGGACGGCGGGGGCGGACAAGGCAAACAACGGAAAGAAGGAGGAGGCAGCAAGCAAGCAAAGGACACCCGCGACGGGAGAAAGAAGGGGGCCGGGAGGGAAAAGCAGCGAGCAAAAGGCCAAGGAGCACAGCAAGAAGGCGAGACAAAGAGGAAGAGGGAAAGGAGGGCGAGCAAACAAAAGAGAGAGGAAGGAGGGGGCGCGGCGAGAGCGGACGGCAAGCAGGCCGGACAGGGCGGAGGCGGGGGAGGGGGGGCAAGAGGCCAAGCAAAGCCAAAAGAAAGCCACCGCACCGCAACAAAGAAGAGCAGACGAGAGCGGAAAGGCACAAGCAAGGGGGGAGGGGGGAGCCAAAAGGGACAGAGGGGACGCGAACGGGGGGCAGAGGCGGAGGGGGCAGGGGGCAAAAGAGACAGAAAAAGCACGGCCGGGACAGGCCAGGGGGGGGGGAAGGCGGGGGCGGGGGCAGCAAAAAGCAAAAGGCCAGCGCAACGAGGACCGCCGAGGCCGAAGAGAGGGCGGCAGGGGGGGGGCGCAAAGGGGGGGAGGAAGCAACAAGGGAAGGAGGACGGAGGGAAGGGGGAGGACGGGAGGAGGAGGGGGAGAAGACGAGGGCAAGCGCGAGCACGCACAAGCCGGGGCGGCACGCAAGAACCAAACAGAGCGACAGGCGACAGCAGGGGAGAAGGGAGCACGGGGAAAAGAAAAAGCGGAAGAGCGAAGAGAGCCCGACGGAAAACCAAGGGGCGGAGAGGCGCACGAAGCCGGGAGGCGAAACGAGAGGGGCGACCGGAAGGCACGAGGGGGAAGGAGCGAAAGGAGCGAAGGAGCACGGGACGGAAGCGCGCGAGGGAAAGGGAGACGGGGG